CTGGGCCTTCCCACATTGATCACTAAATGAGAAAAAGCCTTACAGTTGAATCTCATCAAGACATTTCCCCAACTGAGGCTCCTTCCTCTGCTGACTCTAGCTTGTGTCAAGTTGACACACAAAACCAGTCATTTCAGTGGTGGTGCACACCTGTGAGAGAACTGATGCCTTTTCCTGTGTCCTGATCAGCAAAGTGTGCCTCCACTGTAAAACTGACAAGGCTGCAAAGTGTTTCTGACCTTCCATTTCGTATAAAAGTTACTGGACTATGCTAAGGCGAGATCCAGTATCTAGAATCATCCACTTTCCATGCTTAATAGGCTTTGTTTCTCAAGATCATTGTATTATTTTTCTCATTGTCGCGAGCAAATGGCTGACAGAGCATCTAAGGACGAGGCTACATGGTTTACGGGAATACAGTGCATCAGAGTAGGAAAGACACAGCAACTGGGACTTCATCAGTGGCAGGGAAAGTCTAGAATGAAGCCGGCTGCTTTAAAAAGGGAGCCCAGCCGGATGTGGTGGCCTACACTTTTAATCCCAGGCAGATGCAGTAGATCTCTGAGTTTGAGGTCAGCCTGGTCTACAGAATGAGTGCCAAGACACCAGGGCTTCACAGAGAAACTTTGTCTCAAAAGAAAAGAAAAAAGAAAAAGAAAGAGAAAATAGAGAGCCCTACAGGAAATGGGGCTGGCTACAATTCTCAATCTCCACCCTTATATCCCTGGAACTTCCAGTTAGGCCCCCATGTCCGAAACATTCCCAACCTCCCCATACAGCCAAAGATCAAGTTTTCCAACACAAGATCCTGTGAGGAACCCTGCATACTCAAATCAAAGCAGTCACCAACTCAGCCTTCCACTTGAGTATAATAATAAAACCAATAAGGAAATCCATGCAATGCAAAACCCCATGTTTACTACGTATTACTATGATGTGGTGGTGGTCTCAGGAAACGTCACCCAAGTGTCTCAACCACTGCAAGCCGTGAGCTCTATTCAGCTGAGATCCTCTGATGGACACTTGGTGTTAGCCTGTCCTGAGCAGCAGACACTGGAAAAGCATCTTACACCCACTCAGTGTGGTTTGGGACAGGGTTTCATGATGTAGCCCTGACTGTCCTGGAACTTGCTATGTAACCAGGCTATCCTGGAACTCACTCACATGCGATTAAAGGCACCGCCATGATTAGTCCCCATGGGTTTTATATATGACAGTCTTGCTTCTTTTGAACATATTGCTAGCTTTTTAAAAGAAAGGTATGACATCATATTATTTTTTAAGATTAATTTATTATTATTATTATTATTAATTATTTTAAATGTGTGTGTATGCTATATGCCTGTGGGTGCCTGTGTAGACCAGAGAGGGGTGTCGGATCCCTTTGCTAAAAGTTACTGGTCATTGTGGGTCACCTGATGTGGATGCTGGGAACTAAACTCAAGTCCTCTGGAAGAGCAATGAACACTCTTAAGAGCTAAGCCATTTCTCCAGCCACACATCTTACTTTCTACACCTGTGTATATATGAACTGGATCATTTAATACTGGGTACCATTTGATGAGTCTTTTTTGGTAAAAAGCCTGAGCTGCATAAATCTTGAGTAGTACAACATATTTCAGCTATTTACTTCCGTTTTTGAAGGACTTTACACGTGTGAGATGTTTGAGGCATGTACTGAGCTAATCACATTAATCATGGGCAGATTAGAGAAGACAAGAGTGCAGCTGGAAGTGTATTACTCATCAATCCAGGGAAGATGGGAGCCATGTCTGAACATGCTGACTCTCCCCTGCCTTCCTTTTACTACAGGCTCCTGTCTTCTTACTCTCCCTGGAGTTTGATTTTCTGTCCTTCCTGTCCATTTCATACCACTACCAGCAGCATTCCCAACCTCACCACCCCAAAGTCTTCCTGGTTGAACTGTTGGTTCAGGACTCTCTGAAATTTGTTAGTTTGTTTTCCTTCCACACTGAGCTGTGTTCTCCTCATGAACCAGACTGACTTATACTTACTACCAGTTGGATGGGTTCTAAGGAGCCACTGGGAAGCTTGTGTTTACGTGGTAGAGGATTGCACTGAATCAGCAGACTACCATATTCACGTATGTATTGAGCTTTATGCACTCTCTGCATGACACATACACTCCTGATCTCCAGTGAACAGTCTTGTGCATGTCTGTTAAACATATGTATTCATTGTGCTGTATGCATAACTATGGGCATAATTCCATTTTAAAACTTGTCAAAAGAAGTCTTGCAGACATGATAAAGTAAGTTTATTTGCAAAGTGGTCTGGAAGACTTAGATTTTAGAAGCAAAAACATAAAACAAAAAGACAAGCAACTTACTTGAAGATTAAAACAAAACCCTTCCAGATTGTGCTGGCTAGTTTTATACCAACTTAACATAGACTAGGGTCATCAGAGAGGAGTCTCACTTGAGAAGATGCCTCCATAAATAGGCTGTAGACAAGCCTATAGGGCACTTCCTTAATTAGTGATTAGTTGGGAAGGGCCCAGCCCACTGTGAATGGAGCCATCCCTGGGCTGTTGGTCCTCTGGGCTGTTGTTCCTGGGTTCTATAAGAAAGCAGGCTGAGAAAGCCATAGGGAACAAGCCAGTAAGCAGCATTTCTTCATGGCCTCTACATCAGCTCCTGCCTCCAGGCGCCTACCCTGTTTGAGTTCATGTTCTGCTGACTTCCTTGAATGATGGACTAAGGTATGTAAACCAAATAAACCCTTTCCTCCCCAACTTGATTTTGGTCATGGTGTTTCATAGAAGCAATAGAAACACTAAGACACAGATTGTCAAGGTTTCATTAATTAATTCATCTACTTATAGTGGGAAAAGGGCAGCTTCCTCACACGCATCCCATCAGCCAAGGACAGACTGTCTTTAGATAGCAGAAATGAATTTGTTTTTTCAAGCTCGGCCAGCATCATAGGAAATAGTCAAGGCCTTGTTTCTGTTGAGGAACTACACAGGTGAACCTGCAGTCAGTGTATTTCAGAGTGTTCTTTTCAGTGCATGCTGGTGGGTGTGCTTGTCCAATACAGCAGAAAGACAAGGGCTTAGTTATACTCTTATACAAATGGATGTATGAAGCTTAGTTGACACTGCCAGGGTGTGCAGGGTGACAAAGTCCGTTCATACTTCCTCCAGAGGTGGATGCGATTGCTCTACGTGTCACCTGCATATACATTGCCTGTATTACAAGTGCAGCCATCCTAGAGGGTGTGTGGTGGCATCTACCACAACACGCATGCAGTTCCCCACTTCCCCCTGGCCACAGGTCACCTTTGGCTTGGTGTCATTCAGTCGCATCCATTTTTAAAAGTGGCTTGTTCCCTTTCTTTTTTTCTTTTATAGTCAAGGTCTCAGGCTGGCCTCAAATTCACGTCTTTCCTGCAGGTGTGTGCCAGCAGTGACTTGTTCACTTTTAATTGTCCTTGCACACACTACGGTATGTTATGCATGTGAATTTTTTGTCTGAAATGAGTGTAAATGATTTTTCTTACTCAATGACTTGTCTCTCCCTTCTTGTAAATGGAGTCTTTTGATGAATATGGTTCTTAATTTCAATGTAATCTAATTTATCTTTTATTTCTTTTATGTTTCGTGGTATCTTGTACCCTTTTACAAAATCTTTGCCTATTCCAAGGTCATGACATATGCTCCTAAGTTTTCTTCTAAAAGCTTTAATTTTTTTACCTTTCACATCTAGATCTACAATTCGACTAGAATTGAATTTTGTAGATGGTGTGAGACAAAAGGTTCACCATTTATTTGTTTCCAAATGGATATCCAATTGACCCTGCACCATCTATTGAAAAAGAAATAATTGTTATCCTTTCCCACTGCTCTGCAGTGTCAGCTCTGTCAGCCGTCAGGTGTCACTGTGTCTTCTGATCTGTTTCTGAATTCTAATTTGTCCCACTGGTTCATTGTCTACCCTTGCACCAACACCAATCCATTAGCCATTATTAAATCTGGCAGTTTGTGTCCTCAACTTATGGGTGTCTTCAAAATTGCACTGAATATTTTTAACCCTTTATATTTTGTATGCATTTTAGAATCAGATTTTTTACACGACACACATACAGACAGATACACACACATGCTGGGATAGTGATCAGAGGGGCAACAGTTACAGACTGATGTACTTATACTATTCCGTCTTTCAATTCTTCACCATGGTGTGTGCTTTCATTCATTTAGAGAGTCCTTGTTCTCCCTTAGTGACGACATTTTACAGTACTTAAGACAGCTGTGGTGGTTCACATCTGTAATCTTAACACTTCAGAAAAGGAGGCAGGAAGAACAGGAGTTCAAGGTCATCCTTGGCTATGTAGAAAGTTGGAGGCCAGCATGGGCTACACAGTGTACCCTGTCTCAATAACAATAATAATTAATAATAATAATAATTTGTAATATGTAGTATAGAATTTTAACATGTATTCTGTTTGATTTGCTATCAACTATTTAAACCATTTTATTTTAAAGTTTTTAGAAATTACGTACAATGTTTTATTTTTATGCTTATAAATTCTATATAAATATAGAAATGCTATGGATATGTCATCCTTCTCATAAAGCATTGATGAATTCTTTTTTTTTTTTTTTTTTTTTTTTTTTTTTTGATCAGTGAACTATATATATCACTTTATTACAAAGTCTAATCCATCATAGAACACATTAACTTTGTTTAATTAAACTGATTAACAAGTTTCATTTGTTGGAATATATTGACTCTCCCTCTCCATAAAACGTAAGGGCAAATTTCCTATGAGGTTTGTATTTTTCTTCAGTACTTATCCAAGCAACTTTAAATAAAAAGTAAAAAGGATGTCTCATTTTTATCTTCAGGGCAGCTCATTTGTAGAATAAAACTTTACACACACACACACATACACACACACACACACACACACACACACACACACACACACAGAAAGAAACATTGCAGTCATTATTTATGGTGAGCAAGAAGCACAAATTCCCAAGTGAACTTTAATTTTGTCCCCTCTAACGTAAGTTCTTTTACAAATGAAACACAAGTGAGGCTCCTTCTGGTAAATGTGGGAATGGCAATGGCTGCCATGATTGTAAGGTATCTTTAAAAGTGGCTCTAAAATCATCTGATGATCCAAGCGTCACAAGCATATGGAAAATTTCAGGTTTCTGGCACTGAAATGCTGGGTGTGATGCAGACAAGAAAACTATTTCCTGGCGTTTTGATGTCTTACTCTTGATGTTCAAGCAGAAGGTGTCTACCTTCACTTGGTGCAATAAGCTGGCCTATGAGAACTTGCAGGGATGAAGAAAATCCCAAGTTACATGTACATACACAAATGGATCCACATAATAAATATATACAGCAAATAAAAGGGCTACATACAATTAAAAACCCTTCAACCCCTGCTTACAGGCTGCCAAATCTAATCATTAGTTTTTTCCAATGATGATGTAATCTATTTGCTTAAAGGTAAAAACTCCTGATACTATACATTGCATTAAGAATTAACACACTGACCTGAATCCAGGTTAGACAAACATATAACAAATGTTAAGGTCAATAAAATAGATTCAAGTCATTGCAATTTCATTTTATACTTGATACATTTTTGCTTCTACCCAGGATCAATTTTACTTCAGCCTGAGTACTATACCAAAATGTAATTTTACATTTTAAATTTAAAGTATTACTTTTACTGAGTTTTCAATTTTGGAAAGGTTTTGATCCAGTATTATTTATATAGCTATATATTTATATATTTATACCTTAAGAAAAATGAGAAGTCGGTACAATCAGCATGAGCTTTTCCACCAGTCTCAGTTCCCAGCCTATTTCTCTCCACCCAGCATTTTACTTTTATTACTTGCAATTTCAGAGCAAATTACCTAGACCACATCTTCTGGATCAGCCAATGATAGAACCTAAATCTCAAATGCTATTCTGAAGAAGTGTGGAGTAAATAATTTTGGTAATCTGTAAGATGGCTGCATGCAGTGTATACTGTATTATAACAGCACCAAACCCTTTATAAAAACCAAACATTCCTTCCTCCTGCTTAATGGTATTTATACAGTCTCTCATTCCCTCATACTGCGTATTAATTGGAAGAACTTCATAGCCAAGGTCTGTATTGTCGATTATTGTGCGTGTTCCTTGAATATGAAGGCGATGCAGAACGGTTTCCAATGGGTAAAGTATAACGTCAGAGCAAAGGCTGGCAGCAAAGTTAGCAATAAGTTCTGGAAAATAAGCATCCAACATACTCTGCACGGGGCTAGTACTCTCAGCTAGGTGGCTATTATAGGTCTTTCTCTTCAGAATTAGGAGGACAATCTTCTGGATGATGGAGCTGATGATGTAATGAAGAACTCCATGCAGCACTGTCGGGAAGATCAAGGAGAAGAGTGGAAGGAGGCGTTTGCTGTGAGGCACGCCCAGGCCTATCACTCTGCCAATCCCTTCTCTAATACATTCCAGGATGCCAGTATTATCTCGGATTATCTCACTCTGTACTGTTTCAATCAGACTTGCTGAATAAAAAGGCATGGCCACCATGTATGTTAGGCATTTCAGGAGAAGGTGTTCACCTATTAGTTTAGGATTCCATTTGTGTGAAACCTCCCTGGGTAAAGGTGTGAATTCACTAATTATGCCTTCTGCTCCAAGTGTGACTCCCTGAACAATAAATGTACTTCCCATTCCTTTCCAGAGGGCTCTTGGTCCCTGAGTTTTGTTGAAGCTGTACATAATGTTGATGACTGTAAATGGAGTAAGATGGTAATGCCGAGCATGGTAATTAACCTGACATTGGCGGCGTAAAACAATGCAAGGATGGGCCAGTACATTCTCTGTAAAGAGACTTGCAAGTCCAATACCAAATCCAGCAAATCTATTCAACTGTTCGCTGCTCGGGCCGGGCCGCGGGCCCTCACCGCCGCCGGGAAAGGGCTCCTCCGCGGGGCCCTCGAGCGTCGTGGGCGCGGACGGCACGCCGTACGAAGGGCTCTTTTCGCCCCAGTGCAGATTGCGGCTGCCCGGGATGTCCGGGGGAGTCGTCACCCAATGGCCCAGGTCGGTCCCGGAGCCGAAGGCGCGCGCGTGGAAGGGGCCGCCGAAAGCCGGATCGTCCCGCACGCCTCCCCGGTAGCCCAGGCCATCGAAGCCTTCAGGGCGCCGCGGATGCATCTCGGACGGGCGGACGAGGACGAGAGGGGCCGGCCCACCGAGCCCAGGCCTCCACCGCGTCCCCGCCGCAGTCGCCGCGCCGAATTCTTTTTTTGTTTGTTTGTTGTATACACAGAGTTTCTCTGTGTATCCTTGGCTGTCCTGGAACTAGCTCTGTAGAGCAGGCTGACCTCAAACTCAGAAACCTGCCTGCCTCTGCCTGCTGAGTGCTGGGATTAAAGGCCTGCACCACCACACCCAGCTGAATTCCTTTCTTAATTATGTTGGATTTTATGCACTTTGTTTTGTATTCTATAGGGAGAAATATGTGAAATCTCATTAATAATAGACTTACTTTTTCCATTCCATGGATACAACAATTAAAGGTTACTATAGATTAAAAATGGAGACAAATTTTCTCCTCTCTCTGCCTCCCTTCATATATGTGGCCTCTATTTTTTGCTATGCCCACAGAATATGGATAGGGCAGTTTGGGACATGGTGTAACGAGGACAGCTTTCTCACTGCTCTCTAGACTCCTGAACACCACATATGAAATAAAACTCTGAGACACACAAAAGTCCCAGCCTTATGGCTCAGTCAGGTAAGGACACTCTGGAAAAGTTCCAGCTGAGTCCAGCCTTTCAGCCACCTTTACCAAGCGTATGAACAGACCATCTTGGGTGTCCCAAAGCTACCCAAATTCTAGAAAATACCGCTAAGTGGCTGGTCAATGTCATGTGTAACAGAATACTTATATACTTTACCAACAAAGTGTGACGTGTTTCAAATGTGTAGCTTGAGTTTTCCTGCCTGTCCCACAGTCAGGACAAATCTCTCTCACCCGCCAGTCCCACAACCGCTCAGACCCGACCAAGTAAACACAGAGACTTATATTGCTCACAAACTGTATGGCCGTGGCAGGCTTCTTGCTAACTGTTCTTACAGATTAAATTAATCCATTTTCATTAATCTATACCTTGCCACATGGCTCATGGCTTACCGGCATCTTTACATGCTGTTTCTCATCATGGCGGCTGGCAGTGTCTCCCTAACTCAGCCTTCCACTTCCCAGCTCTCTTCTCCTCCTTGTCCCGCCTATACTTCCTGCCTGGCCACGGGCCAATCAGTGATTTATTTATTGACCAATCAGCAACACATTTGACATACAGACCATCCCACAGCACAAATGCTACGCTTTTAATCCATTATATTTGAAGAAATTTTTCTATGAAGCTGTGGATTTAATTTAAGATGATCTTGACTAGAAGTAGAGATAATAGATTTATATTCTTCTCTAGCACTGGTAAAATAATTAAATATTTTCCTATTATGTATGATGCTACCGTGGTTTTTTTTTTCCTTTTTAGTAGATAGTAAGTAATCTTTGCTGTTTCAAATAATCAGCCTTGAACATTCTTATAGTATTGTTTTGTATTTAATTTATACTTTCCTCAGTATTTATCACTCTGTTGTTGGATATGCATATTCATCCAACCTATTTATTTATTTATTTTTGAAGCAGGGTCTTATTACATAATAGCCTTGGTTGGACTTGAACTCACAGAGATCTGCCTACCTCAGCCTCTCAAGTGCTGGCATTAAAGGTATATGCTACCATGTCTGGCTTAATCCAGCTATTATAAATATTCTCAACCTTTTCAGTGTCTTTATCAAAGTCCAAACTCACCTCTTTCATGAGCTATTCCTAAAGACATTTATTTGGTCTGATTATAGGAACTTCATAGATTTCTTGGGGCTTATATGCAACTTCCTGGTTCAAGTATGTTTATTAATCTCATTGGTCAGTCATTTTAACAGTACATTTTTGGAATACATTGTATCAGTCTTCATAGAAAAGTTTATTCATATGCCTGGTATCATAAATATGTGGACATTGACTGAGAATCAGGTGACCTTTGGTTTATTTTGATTATAAAGCCTTTGCACTTAACATTATGCTATGATTTTTTTGCACTTAATTCTTGCAATAGGCAAAGTGAAGCTAACTGATTTGGGGGCTGGAGGTGCAGGCCAGTGCAGAACAACTGCCTGGCACATGAACTGATTTGTCCCAAACCATGTAAGCAATAGCCCTTAGTATATAATCTAAGCTTTCATTATAAACATATTGTCAGGGATAACTATGCTTTCGACTTCCTTGCCAAACCACAGACAGGCAGAAACTCAACAAATGCTGTTCTCTTCTCCAACTGACCTATTTATCTGGTCATACAGATTCTGCAAGACTCTGGCAACAGACAGCTTAAATGGTGTCCTTGAGTGAATACCTTTATAATTCTTGTATCTTTTTTCCAAGTGTGTGTGTGTCTGCATATGGGTGTATGCATATTGCGTACTGGTGGCCTTGGAGGCCAGAGGCATCAGATATGCTGGTGCTGGAGCTGGAGGTGACTGTAAGCTGCCTAACACGGATGCTGGGAACCAAACTGAGGACCACCAGAAGAGCAGAGAGTACTCTTAGCTGCTGAGCCATCTCTCTAGCTCTGAAACGCTCTGCTTAACCATCAACTTGGTGTTGACCTGGGTAAGTTCTTCTACTACTTCAGCATCTGCAACATATAAAACAAGACAGTTAAATGATGGAAATCCTTTCGGCTGTAGGAGTCTACATCAGTGTTTATTGTAAACATGTAATCTCCATGAAACCTTAGAACCTAAATTTGGTTGATTTATAACACCAGAAATGAAGTAATTTATAGCTGATATTCTACTTTACCACAGCAACATTGCTATGGTGTTTATTAAAAAAAAATTCAGCCTGATTCAGTTGAGAATCACCAAATAATTTACACAGCAAATGTACATTCAGCTGTTTATTAAAGCATATCTGTGAAGTCTGTTTAACTTAATTTTAACTAAAATGCAAATCTGCCCATCTATCATCTATCTGTGTATCTATCTAGAAATATAGTTGTATTATTTTTCAGTGAAAATTTTGGAAGACTTTGCATTTGATTTACTCACAACAGGGATAAAATTTACTCTACTGTTACTCTCTCTCTGGGACAATCTTTTCAACTGAGGTGGTAGAAAGAACAGGCTGTGAGGGAGTCTCTAACTGCAGTTTCAGCATTCAGAGACCAAACATCATTCACTGACATTTTGGAACTTCAGTTCTAGTGGAGTTTCATACTTTCCCTGCAGGCCACCTCCCAGAACCAACAGGAGGATAAATGAGACAAGTGAGTGCATCTCATAAGCTGTAAAGTTCAAAGTGGTGTAAGGCAATACACTATTGTCTGTGGCTTCACCGGGTCTAGTAATTCATTAACACACACTTGGCAAATACTTTTAAGTACCTAGTATGTGTTAGATACTCTTCTTAACTTTTGGAACCAGTAGGCAAGGGAAGAAAAACATTAAAAGGATAAATGATTTCAGGTAGTAATTTTTTTATGATGGAAGAAAAAAAGAAAAGAAGGGAGAACCTGGGGTAATTGAGGAACAACTGTGGATGGTCCTCCCCATGTAGAGTGTTTTCAGTCTTCAGCATCGATAAAATGATGATGCAGCCAGAACAGCTTGGGAAGAGTGCTCGCCTCTAAGGGAACAACAAGTACAGGGCCCTAAATCAGGGACAATTTCACGTTTGAGGAACGGAAACAATCTATGTAGCTGTGGTGTATCAGGTAAGAGCAAAGGCAGGGCAAGATGAATTCAGTAAAATAGAATTTACATTCCCAACAAAACTATAGAATGTTTCAGAATTCTAGGGTTGTGTTAAGAATGCTATTCACATGGACTGGTGCAGCTGCTGTGTCCTAAAAAGATTTAGAGTGATTCTTAGGGTACACAATTGGTCTATACAGGTTAATAAAAATTCTATGACACCTACATGCTAATTCCTAAAGTCTTGTTTGGGGGAAGTTGGACTTCAAAGGAGAAATCATAACCAACATGTTTTCTCCTTGAGATGAAAGCCAGTTTCCCTTGTGAAATTCCATGGAATCAGCCTCAGACTTTCTGCCGGTGAGTTTCTCAGATGGGATTTCCATTCGTAGGAGGTAAGCAGTTACCATTCTGTCTACATTCCCACGGTTTGTTTCTTGCTTCAGCAACAGGTCTCAGGAAGAGAGTATTGGTGGAACTCTGAGACCTACAGCTTCAAAAGGATTCTGGGGCTATTCACCCCATCAACTACATGTTGTCCCACCCTCTCTCCTCCTGTCCCTGCCCAATGATGATTTCAGGCCACAAACAGCAACAAAAACTGTGTATCTGCCTTTGCCTAGTCCAGGAGAAACAAGCATCCCAAACCCAGTGTTGGCCCATACAAAGCCTCTTCTCATTCCTGTAAATTGATTGTTCAGTTCTGATTGTTCAACTGTATGGAGACAGTTATCAAAGACAGGAGACATTGTAGAGAGGAGCTAACAGAGAAAGAGCAGACTCAAGTTTAATGCCATCCGCTTTTCAGGGTACCGTCAATGAAAGTGTCTGCTTTTCTGAGGAGGCTGCAGTGAGAATTTAGTAGCTACAAACTGTGGAAAGTGCTCTGGCAAAAGTCTACAAAACACAAACAGGAGGAGTGCTGAAATTAGTGAGCTTCATTGACTGTCAGGTATGGGAGTAACACTAGGAAAACAGCAGAGGGTGGACTGTGAAAGTGCACTGTTTGCCAGTGAGCTAAGAAGTATACTTCACAGCAGGAACCTGTGTTCAGGGGCCAGTACACTGCAAAGGGAATCATTATGGCCTGTGTGTACACACACATACACACACACACACACACACACACACACACACACACACACACACACACAGAACAGAAGAGTTGGTAGGAATGCAGCTCCTTCAATTAGGGGCTAAGCAGTAAGCATTGGAGGAGGGCAGAGGCTGGAGACACTGAAGAAATGTCAATAGAAAGGATGGGACTTGAGTTACTCACTGGAAGATGCAAAAGAAAAGTAGCAAAAGATGTTTAGCAAAATTAAGGACAAAGTCTGATGTGGTGGTACTTGCCTTCAATCCTAGCACTCAGGAAGCAGAGGCAGGCAAATCTGTAAGTCCAAGGCTAGTCTGGGTTACTTAGTCAACTGCTGTCTCTGAGAGAGAGAGAGAGAGAGAGAGA